ACAACCCAATTCAACATATCCAATAAAGGCGTTTGACTTTTTGTTCTTTGAATTGAGGTTTTGGAATTGAGGCTTTGGACGGTAGAGATAAATAAGAAACTGAGGAATTATGGTCAATTTAAATGAAAAAGTATCAGTCAGATTTCATTGAGATTTAATTTGAACTGCAAAGAACGGACGAACAACTCGCTACAAGATAACGATGGCATTTTGAAAGGATATTTCCTCAAAGAACAAAAAAAAATCCAGAAGACAACACATTCACGTGTATTCAAGAACTTTGAACGAAAAGAACCAACAAAACCCTAAACTGTGAACTTGTGCAAATCCAGGGTGCAAATGAACTGACAAGAAGCTTAAAGATAATTGTAAACATGGTACGACTGTGAATAAGCTGACAACAAAGTATTTGTGAATAAATCTGTTCAGTTCATCACTTATTCAATTGGAAAAGTTTCAAAGAACAGATAAAAAGGCGAAAATCTTGGAAAGAAAGTTTTGATTGTAATAATAGAGAGAAAACAGTTACAGAAATAGAGCAAGTTTAAGCTTACAATTTAAAGGTGCTCACACACGGTGCAACATTGCATGCAACACTGCACTTGCACACAACAGGACTGTTGCAGCGTGTGTCTACTCCAAACTTATTGCACGCAACAATGCATGCAATGAATCTGAAGTTGAATCGCATTCTACTCTCGCAACATTGCTCGCAACAAATTTCATCATGTGAACATGGCTGCAACATTACCTGCAACATTTTGAAATTTCCAGCCAATCAGCTTGCACCAAATTTATAACTGCTGACCAAATATCTTAACATAGCAGGCTGACACAAGCAATGTTACGTGATGTGTGTCACCCCGATCCAAATTTATTCTTTGCAATGTTGCATGCAATGTTGGCCTGTATGTCAGCACCTTAAGACTTCAAGTCGAGTTCACAAAGATGAATGGAAACAGTGCCACCAGCAAAAACAATTAGACTATTCATTCTTGTTTTCTATGAGTCAAATTTTTGATTCAGCACTACGCGCCCCATCATGTAATTTTTATAATAATAAAAAGCTTCGCTGCGCTCCCTTGTGAAAGATCTTTTCAACACTCGAAGATAAATTTCGTATCTCCGCTCGCCCATGTAATATCCTTTACTTATAAAATAAATTAAATAGTACGCACGCTGTGATTGGTTGATAGCCATGTTTGCATGAGGGTATGTAAACACAGTTGTGACGTCACAACTTTCTTGTTTTCCCGGTACAAGTTCAAAAATTTACAGTTTCTTTCGAGGCAAAAAACGCCCCCAAAAATGTATTTTGAAGACGAAGTTCCAAATTTTGACTTGTGTCAGGGCCACAGGCATAACCTTATAGTCTCATGCAGGTCTTTCTGATCGTAATATCATGACAATCTCTCGTTGGTCACCGCAAAGAGAATTCCCTCAGGAGCTACAACACACGTCCTCCGTCAGGACAGCTTCGCTTGTTCAGAGCGACGTGCTTTCTCATGATTTAAATGCACCGCCCGATAAAGAATACAAGTATTTCAAGGAAACAGTCAGCAGCTTCAATA